CAGGCTAATGCCTACTCCAGCCAGCAACGTCAGGCTCAGTTGTACAATCTAAAAACAAGGGGCACAGACATAGCTGAAGGGGATCAAGTGCTCTTGGCTAATAAGGGGGAACGTGGCCGTAGGAAGCTTGCAGACAAGTGGTCTTCAAACATCTACATTGTTGTGTCTCATGATCCCAGATGCCATACTTACCGCATCAAAGACGCAGCAACTGGACAAGAGAAAGTAGTCCATCGCAACTTACTCCTGTCAGCAAACTTCCTGCCACTTGAGTTAGACAAAGATCAAGAGTCGGTGTTTTCCTCTGACATCACCCCAGATCCAAGTACTGTCAACAGTGGTGACCAGGATGTCTCAGTTGTGTATTCAGAGAGTAATGGATTGGACCACAGTGCTGACTGGGTGGCCAGTACGGTTTCCTCAGACCCTGAAGACCTCCAGGATGCTGAAAGTTGTGGCAGGAATCTTCAAACAGAAGGAAGTGATGCTGAGAGTCTTGGAGACATCGAAAGTGACACTGCCAAGTGCCCACAGTCGCCACATAAACAGCCAGAAACTGATGAAGAAGCAGTTGTTATAAGTCCTGGTAGGCCAACAACTCCAACAACTGGTGCTGTAAGTCTTGTCAGATCTAGGGCTGGCAGGATAATCAAACCAGTTAACAGACTGATACAAAACATGGCACAAAGGAACACACAGACACGTAATGCAGTCTCTGAATTTGCAAAGAGTTTATTTTTGTAAGAGTAATCAACTTTTGTTTGTGAATAGAGTATGGTAGTATTACACCTCTGTAAATAAGTCAATGCCCATTAGTTAAAATGTATGGGAGAGTAACAGCCACTGACTGTGAGGTTGTGTTTACGGCACAATCTTTTAGCAAGTAGGCATTGTTGAGTCTGGCCAACTTTCCAATGTTGCTTTTCCTTTTATTAGAGGAAGACCTTTAATGTTGCTCAGGTGTATGTGGTCACTGTCTTGTCAGATGGCAAGAATGTTATTCTGTGTCCAATCTTGATTAATGTTGGGACGGTTTTGAGAAGTTCAGGGGGGAGTATGTAGCAGAGATAATTGTATTTATTTATTTAATTTTCTTTATGAACCTTCTCAAAACTAATTTTCTTTGAATTGACATGTCTGTTATATATTATTTCTGTTTTATTTTGCTTTCATTTTTGGTTCCTAGTGTGTAAAAAGCCATCTTCATCTATGAATATTTGTTTTCCTTTGTTTTTTAATTGTATTTTATTTTGGTGGGGAAGCTTTTATTTTCTTACTTCCTGTTTTTGCGTTATATCCTGTGTGTTCCCGCTGCCCTCCTCAGTTCGCGCCAAGCTGCGCTGGGGAGAGGGTGTTTGTGGAGAATCCGGAGCCCAGGAGCTGCTGTGTTTAAAATGTTCTTGTTTTGAACAGGAATAAAATTATCCTGAATCCTGATTCCGGTGTGGTTCTGACTTCCTGTTACCAACCGCTACACCTGGTGTCGTGACCCCAGTGCATTTTAAACAGCAGCTCCTGGGCTCCGGATTCTCCACAAACATCCTCTCCCCAGCGCAGCTTGGCGCGAACTGAGGAGGGCAGCGGGAACACGCAGGATATAATGCAAAAACAAGT